TCAAGAGGCAATTGATCTTGTTGATAAAAACTATGAGAAGAAGGTGAAGGCACAGTCTTCTTCGTTTACTTCTGACTTGAAAGATATAAAGGATACTCCAAGGGAAAGGCATGTTCTTTTTATTCAAGATGTGAAGAAGGTTTGAGAAGATGTGAATCTTAAAATTCAAGAACTTCATGAGGATTTTGGAAAGGATGTTACAGCATTAGAACAAAATTAATCATCTCTTCATCAGAAGGTTGATATAATTGCTGATGTTGTAACAAAATTTGTTACTTTGTACGAAACTCTTACTCCGAAAGTTGAGAAGATAGTTGATGCTGATGTTCAAAGTTTTGCAAAAATTGATAAATTGTTGATAGAATTAAAGGTATTGGTGTTGAAGTCAAGTTTTGTTTCGTCTTCGTTGATCACTCTTGAACTACTTTCTGAGAAGTTTTCACTACTGGAGTCGACAATTCAGAAGGAGTTAGCACCACTCGCGAAATTGATCAACATGATGCCAACAGATGCCCAACCTATTTTTATAAGGGTGCAAGGGGGAGAAAATGGAAGTGCATCAAAGAAAAAATGATGATGATGGAAAGTGCATCAAAGAAAAATTATGATGATGGAAAGGTTGTTGGAAAAGTGTTAACTACTCCGATATCAACATCTTTACCAAAATATCTACTGCAACATCATCAACAACCACTACAAGACCAGTTACAAAGGGTATTGTGATTGGATCTGCTGGTGGAGAATCAGGATCTTCAAAACTCAAGCCTACTGAAGTAGATAAAGGGAAAGGGAAAGAAATAAGTGTTCAGCTTTCGAAGGAGGAAAAGAAAGCTGCTTATGAAGAAGATATGGAGAAATAACAACAAGTTCAAAGTATTCTTTAAAAACATACAAATGACCCACCTAGTCTTACCAAAGGTGATCCTACAAAAGCTTAATCATTATGAGTATACCAAAGCTTTGGTTGTGTCTGGGGAGATGCATGAATTTGAAAAGGTTCCTAAGAAAAGCTTCGACATTGTGAACACTAATATGAATCAATTAGACTTTCTAGTGAACAGAATGATGTTCTTGGATGAATAGTTCGAACTTCCTGACAAGTACAAAGATAAAGTTGAATATAGGCGCATGAAGTTTCATTTCCATGTTGTACTTGGAAAGAAGGAGGATGAGATATGGTTATTAGTGAATATAGTTCGGGTTCTTGGCATAACCAAAGATGTTTCATTCGAGGGTATGTTATAGAATTATCGATATCATGCAGTCCGAGCAAACAATGTCGCATTCGACGTCTCAGTTGCAGGCTTTCCTCTAATGAATCTTCATGATTTGTTAGTTGTGGCATTGATCATGAAGAGTGTAGATTTATCGAAACTACAAGTGACAAGCAAAGAAGATTTTCTAAATGCTTTTGCTCATTTGAAGGTTTTTATTGATGGATACTATGGAGCTTTAGCCTTAACAGAAGTTGAATTGGCTATGTCTTTGGATAAAGAAATCATTGTTCCATAAACTATGCTTTTGAGTAAGGCTAGTTAGAGAAATTTCGAAGATGGAGAGATTACCTTGAAACCTTTAGGAATTATTTTTGTTTGGAAAAACAAGGACACTAATTCAAAACTCTTGTTTCAAGTGTGTGATGTCGAAAGGTATACAACGCCTCATTACACAAATCTCATGGTTCGTATGAACAGTTGTGCCAAGAACAATGATAAGGAGAAAGCCGAGATTCGGAATATTATCAGCTGGTATGCTGAGATCTGAAGGGTTATCCATAAAACTGCAAAGATTTTAATAACTTAGATTCGATATTTCTCACAAAGGGGGAGAATATTGGGGTTCAAAGGTTATTATGAGATGTCTAATATGTCTTTGTTGTCTGTAATGTCGAAGTCAGTTTGTAATTGTATTATAAGGACGCTTTAGTTTCGAAGCTTGTAATGTCCAATGTCCTTATATTTTTTGTGCTGTCAGTATCCCTATAAATATGAGATGGATACACTTAGAGGTTAAGAACTTGGTCTATCATTTTGGAATCAGTTTGTCTTTCCTCATGTATTTTCTAATCAAGCAATATAATGAGTCAACCAGATGTTATTTAGATCGTGTGTTTTAAATCTATTCGTACTCTGATTTTGTTTCCTTACTCGATTTAGTCGTCTGTACAAGAAATGTTCATGATATTGAGATCCATCATGATCTTTGTAGAGACTTGATGGAACAAATTTAGACCATTGACCATATCGATCTTAATGTGGAACCGATCGATGATATAGAAGTCTAATTTTCCGATGAAAATGTCTATTAGTTTGTAGTAGCTATGACGGTTGAAGTTTTTTTTTAAGTGATTAGTAGTTATGTTTGTGTGTTCTTTTTTTTTAAGTGTGTAAGTTTGCAAGACTTTAAGTTTTATTATTATTTATTTATTTATTTTATTATTATTATTATTATTATTATTATTATTATTATTATTATTATTATTATTTTAATTTGTTGAAATTAGAACATATTTAAAATAATGTTAAGTTTATTTTGATAACCCCACCTAAATTAATAGCAAGTTGTTCAAGAGGTATGATAAAAATGAGGTTGTGCCCATATGAAAGTATTTTTAGTGTGGTAATGAGTAACATGAAGAAACTATGAACAAAAATGTTAATGCCTACCGAGGCTCGGCCGAGCCTTGCATTCATCCATTGACTCACCTCTTCCATTTCAGTTGATGTT